TCAGTGCTTTTCCTCATGGTTGTCCAGGTCCAAGCTGTGGTGAGTATGGCTGTGCGGAGAGGAGGATTTAACCAAGAATCACAGACTTTTAAAAGGACAAAATAATACAAAAGGATCAGCATTTAAAAGCAATAATTTATGGGTGTATACAGTAAGCTGTAAAAAAGTATCCAAATTTCAGTTTCAGATGGAGACATAAGCACTGTCTGAGTTTCTGGATGTCTTTTTTATTTTTTTTTTTGGAAGCTGATTGGTATCTACTGACACTTACGGATGTTGCAATGTGTTTACTAACCAAACTCCTACGCACGAGCGTTCTTTATTGGGCCTCTAGGTTTGTCCTGGATCACAGTCGTCACCTTATCTCATTGTGCCTTCTTACTTGAAAAGGTCTGCAAAGTACCTGTCTACTTCTTCATGACAGCCATTAATCAGTCTGAGGATGCGTCAGCACATGCAACAGCTGCTCGGTAGTTTAAACAGGGTGTGGCTTTTAGTTCAAATTGCACACTTGCCTTATTCTAGCTAACAGACACACACCTTAAACTATATTTTAAATATGATTAACATAACTGCCAACCAGTTATGTGAACTGTGTATGGAAATAAATTCGAAGAAACCACCTTCCTCTAAAGAAGCCTCACAGAGACATCATGAGTAGAGGCTTAGAAATAATGCTTGTTGGGGAACAGAGGCAATGCTGTCATCCTCTGCATTATGGATAGAGTTCCTCCACAGAGCTCACAAAGCCCGTTCAGTCATCCTAACACGGCGGTTAAATCTTTTACGATGCACCTCTTTGCACAAACTATCAGGTAGCAACATCTCTGATACCTTCAAGTTCTAAAAGACTGGGGATGAGTCAAAAATGCGGACAATATTTTTCACAGCAGAAGCTGGATATCCTGAAGATATTTGCAGGGTTTAGTGTCTCTGGTTTGCCCAAGTACATCAGGTTGTTTTCAGTTGAAGATGGGGTGCACATTAAAGTTTCACACAGACTTAATAAGTAAGGTGAGCCTGACACTCCTTTCTTGATATGAGTTTTTGGTGACAATGAAGCGAGGGCATCAATTATTGAGGTGCCATACAGACAAGCAGGCTAAGCCTATGTGTCCATCCCAAAGGGCTAATCCAGGCATAATGCCAGGTACAGTAGTAGCAGACACGCAACGGTTTAAACAGCTAAAGTAACTTTGCTTGCTTACTTTATTTCATCTGGCAGTTATGTCATCTGATTTTGTTTGGTATCTTAATCTTAACGTGTCAGTGGCATGATCATTTCCAGGTTTTTTTTTTAATTATATCACATTAAAACTGTTTTATATCAAACAACATTTTTTACTATTTTTACTTTTACATAAGTAAAAGCCACAAGTTTAGCATAAAGAACATAAAGTACTCATTATACAAAATGTATATCACTTTAATGTTGCAGCTGGAGAAGGTTTTACTTACTTATATGCTTATATGGTTATATGCTACTTAGGTGCTGGTGGTCAGCTGCTTGTTAAAGCAAATATCTAATCACCCAATCACATGGGTTCAACTAAGTCCATTTAAGCATGTAGTCATGGACAAGACGACCTGCTGAAGTTCAAAGTGAGCATCAGAATGAGGAAGAAGGGTGATTTTAATTATTTGTATAGTGCCAGATGGGCTGGTGTGAGTATTTCAGAGACCACTAATCTGGGATTTTCCCAAATAGCTGTTTCAGAGTTTAAAGAGAATGGTCCAAAAAAAAAAGAAGAAAGTATCCAGGTAGAAGCAGTTCTCTGGGTGAAAATGCCCTGTTGATGTCAGGGGAGACCAGACTGGTTCAAGGTGGAAGGGAGCAGTAACAAGTAACTACATCTTTAAGCCAAAGTATGCAACAAAGCATTTCTGAATGCTCAAGACTTGAAGCAGATGGGCTACATCAGCATAAGACCATACCAGGTGCCCCTCCCATCAGCTAAGAACAGGAAACTGAGGCAAGAATTTGGACAGGTTCACCAAAATTGGACAATAGTAGATCAGAAATATGTTGTCTGATCTTATGCACCCAATTTCTGCTGTGACATTCAGAAGAAAGAGTCATTTGGCATAGACAACATCAGTTTCATGTTGCTTTAAATTATGTATATTAGTTTGGTGTTTTGTGCTGTTTGCCCATCAACAGATCATGCAGCAAAAGGAGATTTAAATGTGTGTGCGATACATCTGAACATTAGTTTCAACTCTTGAAAGATGATAGTGCTGCCAAAAGGACATCAATCTGCTGCCGTTTGACATTTTTTCCTATTCTCCCCTCTCTCTCAGCAAAACACATCTCCATATTTTGCTTTTCATCCCTCTGCCCTTGAGTCCTCGTAATCTGCGTGTCACATTATCTTATAGTGCTGTCCCACACTAGCACATCCAGCAGTCAGCGTCTACCTGTTGGCTCACATTTCCTTCCTGTTTACCACTCGCAGCTCTTGACCTGCAGGGGTCACAGCTTTATTGTGTGTCCCTTGGCTTGTGTTACCTACTGGCTTCCCCAACCTTGTCCTGCAATCAGCCATCATAGTCTGCCCTCCATGCCACCCCCCGTCTGCAGAGTTGAGAATTCAAATCTGATAACAGCAGCTAAGGGTAGCCTACATGATAATTTAATCAAGTGCTGTTGTGCTTGTACAGTGCTCGTGTCACAATACAGTATGTCTGCTGATGTGTTTGCTTAACACACACAATTGTTCATTTATCCAGTTAAATTCCATATTGGAGTGATGTCAAGGTTATAGTTTTTTAAACTTTGCACAGTTTATAATACTTTTAAATGTTATGTTCAGAATTAAATTTAAAATTGTCCTTCTCCGTTACAAAATTGTGAATAATCAGGCCCCGTCATGTCTTAAAGACCTCATAGGACAATATTATCCTATCAGAGCACTTCACTGTCAGGCTGCAGGAAAAGTTGTGGTTCCTATAGTTTTCAAAAGCCCATGTACTGTAGAGACATCCCCCAGTTTGGATTCAGGAGACAAACACCCTCTCTACTTTTGAAACTCATTTTTGATAAAGCTTATAGTTACGGGTAGATCAGATGACCTTGAACCCTCCCTTAGTTATGCCACAATAGACTTATGCTGCTGGGGGGCTTCTTAGAATGGGTTGGACATTTCTTCTTTACTCATCTGTTTTCACTCCCTGTGTGTTTATGCACCATTACTGCTTTCATTAGTTTATTATTAACATCTGGCTCGTTCTCACTTTTATCCTGTCTCTCTCTGCTCTCTTCTCTTTTCCCTCACCCCCAACCAGTCATAGCATTCTTCCTGTTAAAAGGGGGTTTTTCCTTACCACTGTTGCCAAGGGCTTCTTAATGTGGTTGTTGGTGTTTCTTTCTAATATTGTAGTGTTTTTACCGTACATCATTCATGAGGCTACAGTCGCGAGTTGACAGTATACAAACAAAGCTGTATAAAACTGAATTGAATCCAGTGGTTGATTTCTTATTTCCTTCATGTGTATCAGTCTAACCTTCAAATGTTTCCCTTTAGCACACCTTTACCTTTTTGTACTACACATATGCCAAAAAGTACTGCAGATTATCACATTTAATTCTGGACTTGACTATTTTGTTTATCTCGTTATGTTTTTTTCTTCTCTGCTCTGTACTGATTGGTCTTGCAAGTGTAGTTTTAAATTGCATGGCCTTTATTGGTTTATTCTGATACTGTGTTTATTCCTATTAAACTGTAAGTGTCCCTGACTTTAGAAGAACAGGTCTGTATGAGTCCAGTAGAGAAAGAAGGAATAAAAAGCTTTCGTCGCAACAAAACCTGTGAATCAAGCATCTAAATGTGTGACTGCACGACTACATTTGTGACTGTGACATCAAGCTAATGCCAGAGTAGGCCCCATACTGTGGTTCGGAGTGGCAGGTGTCTGCTCTAATAGTCAGGTTCCCCCTGTAATATACACATAATTAAAATGATACTAATGCGGAAGCCCTGAAAAAAAATTGCTACTCTGTATTTTGGCGCCGCTAGTGGGCCGGAGAATAGTGAGGTGGCTGTTAGTTTTAATCCCCCAAATCCTGTAAGTGCAGAGAATGAAAAATCAGTGTGCTATTTAAAGTCTTCAGGGTGTAGGGGTTGTGATGATGGTTGTAAGGTGGCCAGAGTTCTGTCTGAGAGCTTGGCAGGTTGTCCCACATCTAAAGTGACTATTCTCATTACCCATTGGCTTCAAATGAACGTGCACCAATTAATTTGTTTAGCAAATTTCTGTGCTTATTTAAAACTGGTTGTTTTCTTGCTATCTGTGTCTAATCTCTTGATTTTAGCTGATGTATCGCATATTATGTGCAGCATGTGCAGTGTTTTGTTTGCCTAGCCTGAGCAGCACCAAGGTGTAGCTGGGTTTATTTGCAAAGCTGAGGTCAGGTGTCACCCAATCCAACCACGGTGACACTCAGGTGGTCATCAAGGACACCTCTTCTGGTTTCTCCCTGTGTTAGCTCTATGGTTCTAAAACTCTCTCTCTCTGTGACACACACACACACACACACACACAAAACTACAGTGGTACTGTACATACAGTGTTTGTGTCAGTTCTCATATACCTGACACTGACACTGTCTGTCTCATTTACTGCTGTGATCAGGGTAAGTAAAGATTTAAAGGGCACCTCCAAACTGTAAATGAAATATTGTAAGTGGGTGTTTACGTGTGTTGTGTCCATACAGGTATGTGTATATGCAGTATAAATCCCCATACAATAAGAGTTGATTAGAGCTCTTCTTGTGCATGTAAAATATTTCAGTGCTTGAACTGCTGTTCTTGCAAACCTGCACTGTGACATCCCAAAGCAGAGGACATACTGAAACACACTGAGATCTGCACTTGTTTATAAATAATGAAAAGAAATGCATGACCTGGATTTATTCTTTTATTTTTCTCTGTAATTTGTTAATTTGCACATTTATTTGAACAATACAGCTTTAGACTCTATCTAGAAGAAAGCTACTTAAAAATAAGAGAAGAACATAGATATCTTTGGACCATTCAGGCTTCATCTAACTAGCGGGACAAAGGTTGACTACAGTAAAAGCCCCTGAAGCAGTTGGATAAGGATGGCAGGGGGAAAAATCTAGATGGAGTCATGGAATCCAGCTGCTTAGGACAAGACCATGGCTTGGAACTCTGTTGAGGAAAAACATGGATCAGTAAGATGTAGCTCAGTGTAACAAAAATATGTTTATTTTCTTTGCAGCAACTATGGCGATCTTATACCAGAAGAGAGAAACAGTTTGATGGCACAGTTGTAATATCAAAGTTAACAGCTTGCAACTGACTCGAGTGTATAGCCAGTTATAAACCTAAAATCACAAATGTTCTAGAAAAACTGTGTGCAAGCATACAAATTCAGGAATTATATGTCAAATAGGTATGAATTGCCTCACCATCTGCTCCAATCATACCGTCGCTATCATCATCAGCAGCACTCAGGAAAGCCTTGGTCTCCTTATCTGTCAGAACACGAGCCCCGGGACAAAACCTCTGGAGGAAAAACCTGGTAGGCACAAACAGGGACAAACACGATCCAAAGGTAGAGTCACTCCTCAATGACAAGTGGATAAAAGGCAAAGTAAGTGAAAATGTGGCTAATTTTAATGCAAGCGTAGGCCTATCACACTGGCTTCAGTCGTCAGCCTTAGATGCTGCTCTGTGTGGTATCCTGCAGCCACAGCACCCACACTTTAAGACCTACCTTATATTAACATTGTCTCGTTGTGGTTTAGGTTTGCTTTTTGCGTCTGTCTTTTACTGAGGGTTGGTAAAAAATATGTGACCGCTGTGCTGCATTGTTCAACTTGAATATATTTCCCAGAATATTATAAATTGCTCTTCCAGCTTTCACGTCAGCCTTCCAAAGTCTGATAGATTAATGCTGAGGCGCATCCTCTTCTCTAAATCTCTCATATCTCTAAAAGAATAAGTGCACATGAATTTGATTTTGCTTTAAGGAAGCCAGTTGAACTGCTTCTTCTGTTAAATCCTGTCTGCACTAAAGGGGGGGGGGGGGAGTTTATGAACTCTCTTCTCACTCACTTGAGCTCTTCTTCCTCGATGAAGCCACTGGCATCATTGTCCAGAATCCCAAAAACCTTCTTTATATCCTGAGGGCTCTTCTTGGTGAGGCCACATATCTGGAAAAACTTCTTAGCACAGAAGGAGTCTGGAGCTGGAGAAATAAATCACAGTGAGTTTGGTGGATGACTCCAAAGTCTGCCTTCCATTCATTAAACTGACTTAAACATGTAAATACTAATATATGAATGAGTAATGTCAGGTATTTTTCAATAAACTGGTATTAAAGCAAAGTTGTTATAATACCTGCAAAGCCTCAGACTATTTATGTGACTTTAAATTACAGACACATGATAACATACAACCAACAAGGTGTTATTAAGTATGATATAAAACGCGTAATCTTCTTATTTAGGGTACACATCATGAAGAAAATCACCGTTTCAAATGTTGTATCTTTATTTTATTTTTTGGACGCTGGGAGGCCAGTTACTGGGATCTTTACCTTTTATATTTTATATATTTTCTGTGCATTTATGTCAAGACTTTTTATGTCTTCCATTTATGGGCTTTACACATAGTTACTTGCACATATAAATATATATGTGTGTCCTTGTATTCTGTTTATGTTTTTATGTGTGTGTGCTTTTAAATGTAAATATATCAGGGGGAGAAAATCTCCATACTGTAAACATATTGGTGGAAAACGATACCTTGGCAGTCCTTGATAGCACTGTCGATGGCATCAGCAGAAAGGATAGATGAGAGCGACATTTTATTCCTGCAGGAGGAACAGCCATGGTGAATTATTAAGATTAAGCCAGGTGCAGTACAAACCTTCTAAGCTGACACTGACTGACAGACAGACTGGCAAAAGATGCCCAAGTGGAAACACTGTTACGGAGAAGTTACTGAAAAGTACGGCATGGAGTTAACGGAACAGCATCCTTACACAATGAAAGACTTCGATCTTAAAGAGTTGTAAAAAAAAAAAAAAAGCCCGTAAAACTGCGATAGGTTTTCTCTTTGCGACCTTTTTAAGCCACTCAAGCAGCCTACCACAAATTAAAAATGATCAAATGAACGTTTCGCTTCTCGCTTTGCCCTTGTTTCCCCGCCACCTACGGCGAGAGTCAGTCACAACTTTTACGCACGCAATTATTTGCCCTGTCACTCAACTAGGCGACCACACAAAAATTTAAAAAAATTATCTCACACAAAACTTTTCAGTTTTTCTAAAAGCAGTTAACTTCCTGCCCGACTTGGCGCAGCAACTCACCGTGTTAAGGGGGTTCTCTCCCAGGTAGACGATCCAGCAGAGAGATGAGGTTATGTGGTGGCTGGTGTCCGTTAAGACGGATTTATATAGGTCTGATTGCCGTGACAATGGGGATTGCTTGGGTTACCCGTCTATGGATCAAATTCTAACTGCCCGCCCCTGATCCAGTTTCTCGGCTAACTAATTAACCTTTACTACTTATAACGCCCAGGCGCAGAGAGACCGGAACCTGAACGTCTGTAACGCCCTCGTAAATAGCATATTAATTTAAGAGCGCTTTCTTCCTCCCATCCTCCACTCCCTCCTTTTATCCCAGCGTCCCTCCTCTCACCTCCGGGATTATACAGTAAATGCTGCTTTTCTCCTTATCCTGCTGTTTCTGAGAGGGTCCCCATCCCACCCTCTCATGCACGTATCATTTTACTTGCAGCACTCCCCAACCACCGTACTCCTCTGAAAATATGCTCTTTTTATGACATCTGAGCAAGTATGGGAATCCCAACGTTAAAAGTCTGTTTTGCTGTAGTCTTGCGCATGTCTTTTCGTATGTCATCTTAGCTTGTTTAAAGCAAAATAAGATTTCACGGAAAAGATGATTTCAGAGATCAACACCTGAACATGCTCTGCAGATGATGCTCTGCAGTCTGTCCACATGTATGCCTCATGGGGTCATGCTAAATGGGGCTCACATCATCCCCAGTAATATCTAAAGCGACCTGAAACACATGCTCAGAAGTGAATGTCAGGGACGCCGGTACAGTGTCTCTGAACTGCTTTGTCAACTGTGCTCATTAAGGGACGGACAGTCATCCCCCTTCTGCCACTATCCCGCGACAATAGGCACAGGGGCGTAATATTCAGGGGCCCAATGACAGGAGTGACCCATGCAAGCCATAAAAAGAGTTGTATTTTTCTTAAAAAATATTATTTCTAAAAAAAAAAGAAAGAAAGAAATGGAGTAAAACAAACTGTGGGAAGTCGGCTGTTAACACATATCTTTAAAAGAAATGTGAGCAGGGCACAACTATCAGATTAAGAATGATTTAGCTGTCAGCAGCTACTAAAGACAGTGAGCCAATGTCAGGTGTGACCCTATATCAGAATGACCCAGCACAACTTAACACCAAATGCATGAGTCTTTCAGAAACAGCCAGCGAGCATAGAAGCAGCAGCAGCACATCCCTTTCCAAATGACATAACACAACATGAGCTCACATGGTGGCAACTAAAAGTTATTCCAAGCATTCATTTGTATTGACATCCATACCAAGGTACTGCAATTTTAGTATTGCTGTTTTGTAAACATAAACATGTTTAGACACTTGTTTAACCATTCATGATTACCAAGATAGTATGGTATGCCCTGATGATCTGGCTCAACCTCTCGTGTACTTTAGTACCAAACAGGCTGAAAACAGTATGACAGCACGAGGCTGTAAGCAGGTTAATGGGTAAATATCAGTCCTATATACTTTATTCTTCTGGAGGTCTGCCTTTGTAGCAGATGGTGAGCGATAAGATGAGATAATGGCTCAGGGAAGTGAAGAGAGGGAGGAAAATGAAGGTTGCTCTGAGGGTAATGGGGAGGATGGGCACAGAGGAACATGGTTGAAAAACTGAGGGCAAGCAGAAAATGTTTTGCCCAAACACCTCACTAATCAGTAGAGAGGAACAATTTTTTGGAGACTGGCCAACAAGGGTGTAGAAAAAGCAGGTATAACCAAAAAGCAACCAAGATATGGAGGAGAAAACATTACCAAGTTATCTTCAGCATGCCGAGTCAGCTAAAAGGCTATTTAAATTGAGAGTGCACAAGCACTGCACATAAATGCTTCAGTAGTATCAATAAATAAGTACAAACATAAACTTAAAAATGGTAAATGGTAAATGGCCTGTATTTGTATAGCGCTTTACTAGTCCCTAAGGACCCCAAAGCGCTTTACACATCCAGTCATCCACCCATTCACACACACATTCACACACTGGTGATAGCAAGCTACATTGTAGCCACAGCCACCCTGGGGCGCACTGACAGAGGCCTAAAATAATCTAGTAATAAAATTATGCAAATGAAATTGTGACATAAAATAATAATGATAACAAATATTAATAATAAAAAAGACACGTAGGGGAAAATTAGTTAAAATTAGTCTGAACTTGAAAAAGTTGATGAGGAGAGCCATGTTTTCTGCTGGGATTTAAATAATGTAAGTGAGGTAGATGACCTAATCTGATGAGGGAGACAATTCCAGAGTTTTGGAATTGCCCCTGAGAAAGCCGAGGTAGGCGCTAAGAGCCAATCGGGATTCTGGAATTACTAAAAAATGCTGATCGCTGGAAGTGAGCGGCTTGAGACAAGGAATTTTAAAAAATCTGTGTGACACGATAAAAGACCCACACACAGCGTTGTAGGTTCAGTGTTTTTATTGTCAGACTGTCTTCTGCTTCACAGGAAGAAGGGTTAGGGTTATAGAAGCAGCTTATTACTGGCAACATTAATGGTCAGTACAGATTGCTATATACAGTATACACAATAATTTGCTTAAAAAAAAGATCTGTAATGAGGAAAGGAAGGGGGTCCACAGAGACAGTTAATACACCTTGCCCAGAGTTATTTGCTGCGCCCCTGGTGATGCATAATGTGCAGTGCTTCATTTATAAGAAAAAACAAACAAAAAACACAACAGCGGTAAGCACTAGTTTCATATCAATTAAGAGTTTATTTTTTGTGATTTGCTCAAAGTCAGAGCAGCACATTGGATTTTGTTTCCTGTACGATTTGTCCAGTTGCAAAACGACCAGGTCGGCTTGCCTTTCCGAGGACGTTTGTGTCCTGGTCTGACACACAGACTAATGCAAGGGTCATTAAGCACATCCCTGGGAGATTGGTCACTGCAGCAGGACACGGAAAAGAAGGTTATATCTCTCCATGAGATAAGGGGGAGGTGAAGTTGTACAGATGTAGCAACCAGCACCTGGGTGGTTTGGAGATGAACACTTACAATTTCAAAGCTATCAACGTGGACAGAAAAGCATCAGTTAAAACTCCAAACGACAAATTAATCGAAGATCCCACGGAGAGTTGAAGTCAAATCCCTGGATCCACAACCCTGAGTGCTAACTATTACATCATACAAAACAGTATCCGGCTTTTCCCGATTATTCCCAAGACCTTTGCAACCCGACACCGAGCCTCATTCTTAATTCTAGCCAAACGGTCACAATACCTCGAGGTCACTTTTCACGTTGAAGTCGGATTCTTAACGTACGCGTGTTTGAAGCACGGGGCGAATCTTGGCAGGGATGCGCTCCCTCGCGCATCAGCTGGCGAACGCGAACAGCAGGTAAAGTTGCACTGGAGAGGTATCGAGACATGTGCGTAAAGATCGCATTTAAACATTATTTAAAAGCACGAGGGTGTGAAACTGCTGTCAAATTTGTGGCCCGTGTACTGTGTTTGGTATGACAAAGTACTCCCTCCCCCACCACCTTCTTCCAAACCCAAAGAAAAACATTTTCAGTGGAGAGCGTCGCATTCCCAACATGTGCACAAAAATGATCAGACTTTTATTTGTTCAGACCTTCTTTTTTTTATCAAATAAATGAATAAAAACTGAGATGGAAAGGTTGATTTGGTAGATTTTTCATGTGTGGCAAATGAACGATGTTGATTACATCAGGATGGGCAGGTAGGTGATTCTCTGTGTAACATATTGTGTTCCCGTGTGTCGTATTAATGCACGGGAAGTCTTAGTGTTTTTATTATATTATTTTAAACGCGTGGTGAACAAAGTTTATACACAGCATGCGCTCAGTGGCTCTTATTCACTTCTTTAGCAGCATCCTAAAAGCTTACCTCCGAC